AGAAAGGACAGGCTTTAGGTGAGCCGATTTGCCCTGTTGGCACGCACGCAGCTCAGGTAAGTTTTACATACTGTAGACTTTAGTCTATAGTCCTATTTGCATGGGATTAGTATTACCTAGGGACCATATGTAATTAAAAAAACAGTCCCTAATGTCTGCTTTTTATGTGACACATTTGCACGGGATAACCAAAGCCTGAGATTTAGCGGAAATTTACAGACATTTTTCAGAGATGATGTTAACGTGCTGCGTATTGCATAACATCTGCTTGTAACATAACGTTCTCCTTCTCTTCAGCATTTTCCTTTTTTTGGTGACCATTATGGTTTGATAGGCTTTTGCTGGTCTGGGACACAAAAGGTTATTTATGCACTCCAATGTACAACTGTGATTTCTAACCCGAGTCCTAAGCTCGGCCTCACCAGACCCGAATTCGGGGCAGGCCGGGTCATGGTCTTGTGCTGGATGGGCGGGCCGGGTCGGTGTCGGACTTTTGGTTGGGTCAGGATCAGCTGTGATCCAATTATATGATAACATGGCCTGCCATACCATCACCAGCTGCAAACGGTCATTTCACCACAAGTTAACCAGCCTTGAAAGAAGTAAAAAGTTCAGTTAAGCTTCAGATGGGACTATAATGCCAGGAAGCGATCCATCGCCCAAATGGACGTTCATTCAACCGCTGCACTCAGCGAATGAGCACAGCGGACAAACCAAACAGGTGAGAGCTCAAAGCGGACGTATCAGAGCAGGGTCTGTGAATAAATCAGAATGCAGGCAGAAGCAGGGTTTAAATGCCCTTTTACGGCCATGAAAGGACAAACACTCCATCAGCTCCGATCTTCTGCACCTTTTTTTTTATTTAGTTGCACGTCCCCAATGACAGGACAGGTGTATCCCAAAGCAGACGTGTGTCAGAGCGGTCTGCGTGGCTGAGTAATGTAGAAGAATGCAGGCAGAAACACGGTTTAAATGCTCTTTTACTGCCATGAAAGAACAAACACCCCCTAAGCTCCGATCTTCATCCCCTTTTATTGAGCCACGCGTCCCCAACCGTTAATAATTAATTAACAACGTTGTGTTTTTTTTCTGGGTTTGGACCTGTACTTACTGTTAATTTGTTGGGTCAGGTGGGGTTCAGAAAGGACGACTGCGGGCTGGGGCCAGGTTGGATCTGATTTTTTGGGCAAGAAAGCAACTCTACTCCAATGCAGTCTCCATTGCCAAAAGCAAAAAAAAATGTGCCCAGGAAACAAAACACACCTAATTACATATCGGACCCCACCTATTTCTGTCCAAATCACAGGGATGCCTACTCGCATTGGATTATTATTATCACAAGACCTTGGAGTTCAGCAAAATCCATCCATCCATCCATTATCTTTACCCGCTTATTCCATTTTGGGTCACGGGGGTCACCGGTGCCCATGTCCAGCAATCACTGTGCGAGGGGCGGGGTACACCCTGGACGGGTGGCAAGTCCATCACAGGGCCACATAGAGACAAACGAGACAAACAACCATTCACTCTCCCACTCACACCTAGGGACAATTTAGAGTTACCAATCAGCCTAACTTGCATGTTTTTGGTCATTGGGAGGAAACCGGAGCACCCGGAGAAAACCCACGCATGCACGGAGAGAACATGCAGACTCCACCCAGAAAGGCACCTGGACCGGGGTTTGAATCAGGGACCTGCTCGCTGAGAGGCAGCAGCTCTACCAGTTGTGCCACCGTGCTGCCTGTTCAGCAAAATATAATAGGTAATTTGCTGGGGAATTTTTACTTTACAAATTACTGACACGTCTGATTTGCGCGTGATTAACAATACACGCAATCTCCATAATTATTACAAATAGCATGCAGTCCCTACATAAAACTAATCCCATACAAATAGGGCTTATGTCTCACATAGCATTACATAAAGTGAAACATGGAGGAGGTGTGGCTCTTGTTAAGAATAAAATAACCTTTGATGATAAATTGTGGAAAATAACATAATATGGGTTGGTGAATATAATGTTTAATTATGAATTATGAAAAATAAATCATATAAAGATTGCTAGAATATCTGTTAGATGTGTAAACTAGGCCATAAGCCGATAAATAATATATTTTTCAGTGACTTCTAACTTTAAAATCAACCATGACACGTCCTGCTGTCAGTAGGAAAATAGTTCCTTATTATTAATAAGGCCTTTAATGAGAAACAAAACATCAACGTCAAAGGTTCTTGTTCAGTTAACTAAGATCAGCTATAAAGTTAAATTATAGTTCACATCATTTGAGTGTGTGTGTAAAATAATTAATAATGAGTCAAAGAGACTAAGTTGTTTGTGGGGTGAGGTTCAGAGGTGGGAGGGGGGGTCTGTGGGTCCTCCCACAGAAAATTTTGAATAATAGAGATGACATTTCCTGCATTCTGGTGTATTTTATACATCAACACTCATCTACATTTGTAAACACGATTAAAGTATTCTGATGCATGCTCAATAATCCAGGTAGAAAAATGTAAAAAAGTTAAATCTGGTCCTCTGGACATTCAAAAAACTGGTCCTTCTTGACCATGTGAGCAGCTGGTTTTGGTTTTCAGCAGCAAACTGGTTTATCCTCCATGAGAAGGTGCTATTTAAGAGACTGAGCTGAATACAGCACCTCAGACTGAGGAAGTCTTTGGGATGAAAGACGAAACGTTTCTACATTTTTTTTTGTTGTTCTTGTTTTTCTTTGTTTTGTTTTTTGAATGTCCAGAGGACCAGATTTAACTTTTTTAGACTTGATTAAATTACTATTTTGGAGAGGAACAGCAGGTTGTGTGTGAATCGAGCAGATCCGATTCTGCCAGGTGTCCTAACCTCCCTCCCTCCTCGCACTTGACATTTCTGAACTGGTCTCTTCTCTGCTAAATTCAGTCCTGGTTATTGCTCCTGCTCCAATCTAGAAGTGGCACCTTTTGAAGCACCTGAGGGCTTCAGATCTCGGTTGTCAGACAATCTATCCATCCATTTATCTTATTGAAGCAAATTGGACTGTCTTTTCAATATTTTGATCGCTGTTGTTATTTTGACAAATAACCACCATTGTTTGAAACGTGATAATAACACATCAAACATTTCTCTCGATGTATTTTTAATTAATTGTTACAGTAAGCTTTTTTTCTGTCATTATGTCTGAAATGTAGCAGGAGTTCAGACACGTCAGCAGTTGTGCATGTGCTGTGTAGAGCTGTCTGGAGATGCTGTGCATAATGTGCACTGTCTGCAGGGCATGCTGCTGAATGTGTTGGATGAAGACTTAAATCCTCACAGGACTTGCCGTCTGCGTCTCAGACACTATGCTCTAACAGACACTGTGTGCTCTAACAGACACTGTGCTCTAATAGACAATGTGTGCTCTAAAAGACACTGTGCTCTAACAGACATTGTGCTCTAAGAGACACTGTGCACTCTGACACTATGCTCTAACAGACACTGTACACTCTAACGACACTGTACACTCTAACAGACATTGTGCTCTAATAGACACTGTGCACTCTGACACTATGCTCTAACAGACACTGTGCTCTAATAGACATTGTGTGCTCTAACATACACTGTGCTCTAACAGACACTGTGCTCTAACAGACATTGTGCTCTAATAGACACTGTGCACTCTGACACTATGCTCTAACAGACACTGTGCTCTAATAGACACTGTGC